GGGGGGGGGACGACGGAGAGCTCTCCGGGTCCAGTGGGTCCAGTCCCCTACAGTGATTTCTCTGCAGAAAGGTGGGAACTGGGCTGCATCCGAACGTCGCGCAATCCCGGGAGCTCGCCGATCAGCGTGCTGCAGTGGGAGCGCGGGAGGGAACCCCTTTCCCCCTACGGCGATGACGTGCCGCGCCGCGCCGCGCTGCCGTCGGACGCAAAGTTCCAAGAACCCACACTTCTCAGGCGAGCGGGCGAACACCAGCCCCGACTCGCTCGGCCCCGACCACGGCTCTTGCGGCGGCGGCTAAACGGAAGTAGAAACAAGAAGGGGACCGAAAAGATTAAAACAGGGAAAACTTGCCAATTAAAAGTGTGGGAGAGGGGGTGGGACAGGACCAAGCGAAGAGAAAGGGCGGTGAAGAGGGTGCGGGCGGGCGCTCACCTTGACCCTCCCCAACCACGGTTGGGAAGCTGAGCTTGAGGAAAAGTGGTGGGGGTGGAAGGAAACAGAACACATCGGCCCATCGGCCCGGAGCAAAAAAATTGTGCTTCACTCGTTTTGTTTGAAAGACTGTTTCGTCGAAGAAAAGTGTGGGAGGGATGAAGTTGGGGGGGGGGGGTGAAGTTGAAGCAATGGACCTCGCCTCGGCCCTCCATGCCTTTGCACCAGGGTCGCCAGCCAAAGACCATGCTCCTGCTGCCGCAGCACCACGCAGCAGACCCGCAGCGCCCCGCGTGGCCGGCCCCCCCGCCGCCACGGCCATGCGTCTGCTTGGCCTGGCCAAGCGTCTCCCGGAAGGCGTCTTTGAGACAAACCGTCCCGAGGGAAATACGCACAGCCTTTCCTCTGACTGCCTCGGCTCTGCCCCGGCCATTCCGTCTCCTCCACAACCCCTCTGTCCCGCAGATAGGCGCCTCAACCTCTGCCTCAACACTGGCTGACCTCGGGGAGGCCTGCGCATGCAGACAGCGAGACCTCCCGCGAAAATAAAATAAGGGCCCGTGAGACCGCCCAGGCAGCGCACAGGGCACAGCGAGCCGCTCGCACATGGCGAGACGGGCAAGGCGCGGTTCAAGCTGTGCTCAGCGCGCCCGCAACTGATAGCCTGATAGCGGGCGCGACGCGGTATAGCGCGGGGCCCTGGCGGCAAGCCTGGCGGGGCCGCGGGAGTCCGTCGCCCCCCACCTCACCTCGCCCCTTCCGCCAAGCAGCGTGTTATGTGCCTCTGGGTGTAATCGGAGTCGCCTGCCGAGCGAAGCAAAACAGCGATTACTGGACTGGACTAAAAACTTTAAAACAGCCATGCGTTTAGTTAGTAAGCTCCTCGCCCGTCCCGGTCGCTGTTAGGGGCTGTGCTGTGCAGAGCATGTCCGGCGCGGCCCCGGCACGGACCTCCGCGCCACCAGGGCGCCGGGGCGGGGCGGAGCTGAGCTCCAGGGTGTCCTCCTTCCTTATTTGAGACGGCAATCTTGAGCTTACCTCCGATAACTTTCGCAATCAAACCGTCCCCCCTCCCTCCCCTTCCCTAAGTAAGGGGTGGCGGGAAGTAGCGTGCTCCCTCCCCGTCTCCCCCTCGCCGGCGCGTTGCCGCAGCTCCATCTCCGCCCGTAAGCCCGTTTCAAAGCCAGCTAGTACCGAGGCTGAATCCTGTCATGGATTAGGCGGCGACCGCGGCAGCTGCAGCTGTAGCAGCTAGTTGTAGCTGAGAAGGGGGTAAACCGGTCGCCGCTGAACTGTTCGCCTGCAGGGGCTGCGGGGCGAAGCCGGCGAAGCTCGACACTGGCAGACACTGGCAGCTGCGCGGCAGATGGCGCCAGCGGCGTCAGCAGCGTACCCCGGACAGGACACCTGAATCCTAAGGGCTTACATTTATCCGGCCAATATCAACACGCGAGACTTTTTCCACGCGGGGGGAGAGGAGGGGGG